ATCACAGTCAATCTCATATAAGTGTTCAACTTTACATCAGGCCTTAGATGTCTAATTTTCAAATAATAAGAGGAACAAATCCCATCTTGACTACATACACCTCTTACATGGTTCATATCATACCTAATAGTAGCTTTTATAACTGACTGATTAAAGAACAAAATTTAACTATATCAAAGTACAACACTCTCCACACTTAAGACCTATATATGTATCTCAGGTGTTAAGAATATAATCTAGTATTACCTTTTATCAAGTTTCATTTATGAAGACGATCCATGAAGTGATCTTGAACAGGTCAACCAATACTTGTTATCTATCAATTACCTATGAAACTAGTTACAACACTTTGTCAACTACTCCAATTCATATTTTTGTTATTTCATTATTGTTCCCACAATAATAACTGACTATGGATTGTAGAGTGAATAAATTTGCTCAAGGATTAAACATGTTAATAAATAACTCAACAAATATTTAATGAAAATATCCTACAATATATATATATATATATATATATTGTAAATCCATCCCGCAGAGAGAACGTAAAAAAGGAGAAGTGCCGATCTTAGCTTGGGTAGAACCTAATCATGGCCAGTCTGAGGCCAAGGCCGGACTTCGCCAATGCAGAGCCACTGGTATGGCAGTTAAGGGGAAGAATTGTGCCTTGCCTTCTACTGCTAAAAATAACACCCTGAAAAACGTGGGAGCAATCAGAGAGTTCCGCTTGTCCATCTGACGACAACCATGATAATCATAATATCAAATATTTCCCTCTACCCAATAAGGGAGGAGGAAAAAAGTATAACAGGAGATCTTCAATACGGATCCGCCAGGCCGCACCTCTCGAGGGAATGCACAATAGAATCAGTTATGAGGCACATGCCTCACAATCAAGTACAAAAGGATCCTTCTTCTTTATGGAGAGGGGATAGAATCTTTTTCCTTTAGATTTACCCTGACTTCTAAAAAATCCTTTCTAACTTGATCGTCAGAGCTTCGTTTTGGGAGTCCCTCACGGACGTCGACTAACGATCTTCTTTCTCTTTTGTACTGTGTCAGGAGAATCAACTAGTACAATTCTCACCCTCAACTTTAATTCAACCCTCTCCGACATATCACAACATTCGGCGTCATTCGGACCTATCATCAGTGCGATATATCCACGAAGAAAACTGAACGAGCAACGATGGCAAGTGAGATCCCAGCAGCATCATGGAGCAGTGATACAAGCCCGTTGCATCCAATGCAACCATTAGATGGAGGGAAAACTTCCATCCAGGAGGAACACGCTTCAAATCGTACCCCAGTCTCATAGAAATTTTCTAGCTTTGCAGTTGAAATGACAACAACCTACATAGCCAGTCTATGCCGCCCAACAAATAATCCAAATACACAGGTAGCAATCATAACTACAACTCCATGGATTATCGCAACACAAAAAATAGATATTCTCGTTTCACAACAACAATCCTTCCCATGCACTTCGGGCACCGAAACCTGGATCCCTCACAACATTCAACTATAGCCAAAATATTCCCCGATGGTCTATCCACACGCCACCATAGTGGGCTTCCCTCACATGTCGCTATTCATACAACAGCCACTGATCTTCAACCTACTCGTACAATAGACCCCGGGTTCAATCCTAGAACTACCTTAGTCGTAAGTCACAGGCACGCTGACCTGCACCAATCAGGGACCCAGCTCTTATGGATCCGACGTTCAGTTCTCAGTATCACCTGAATTCAACCCCTTCGTGGTGGCCACTAGGCCTGGCAATCGTGTCGTGTTCGGGTTGGCGTGTCGCGGGTTGGCGGGTCAAAATATGCCAACCCAAACACGACCCATTTAACTATACAGGTCACGGGTTGGCGGGTTTGGAACATAAACCCATATATGACCCACCAACCCATTTATTTATACGGGTTCACAAGTTGGCGGTTCATGGGTCAGATTTGGGTTCGTGGGTCCAAATTTTAGATATTTAAGTCTTAAACATCCAAATTAAAATTAAAAACATTCATAGAAACATGTTACAGACTTAGCCTTATAGGTTACGACTTATGACCTTAGACCATCCACCACGAGTAATAATGTCAAAACAATCAAATGGTCTATGAATAAATTGTATATATTATATAATTCTTATTAAATATTAATACTTGATACATAAATGCATTTAAAAATATTTTTTTTTTATTAAGAACATAAATGGGTTGGCGGGTCAACCCGTTTATTTTTTGAGAAACCCATATATGACCCGTTTAATAAACAGGTTGACGGGTTAGCAGGTTGGCGGGTTGAAAAACTCAACCCAAACCCATTTATTTTGTGTCGTGTCGCGTGTCGTGTCGAGAATTGCTAGCCCTAGTGGCCACTCAACCATTCAATCCGTCCACGTAACAATACACATGAGTAAATCCATACGTATCTCCCCCGTTAGGGCAATACACATTCCAACAATTTGGATTGCCGCCAAACCTCCAATAATATCAACCGTATATCTCATCGGCAGCCATGCATAACCAGATGTACACGAACCCCTAGCAGATGCAGCAACACATAGCCTATGGCGGTATGTTTCACTTGTACATGGACAACCCCATGCAAAGTGCCAGCTCCAATTTCAGCCATGAGCTGATCCAATACAATATTACGCACACTGCAATGTTACCAAACATGCCAAAGTATGACGGTACAACCGATCCAGATGACCACATCGACAACTATGAATGGACGATGACATCTCTTAAGATGGATCGCCGCTTCACCTACACCTATTTCCCTTGTACCCTAAAAGAAAATGTAGGGAAGTGGTTCAAGTCTCTGAGGCCAAGCATTATCTCTAGTTTTAAGCAATTGAAATACCTTTTCCTCAACAACTTCTTACAGTTGAGGAAGGGAAAAGGGGATGCCGACTCTGTTATGGTGTGTAAGCAAAAAGAAGGAGAGTTGATTCGTGACTATTACAATTGATTCAGGCTAGCTACTTTGAATTTCCTATGGCATGAAGAGTTCCTGGTGACAGGTGCCTTCACCCAAGGTTTGTTTCCTGGACCTCTATCTAAAAAGATACAAGGGAGAGTCCCTAAATCCAGGGACACACTTAAGTTATGTGTGGAAAAATATTTGATAGAAATACAAGGGGAAGAGATCAAAGAGGCCAATATCAAAGTTATAGCCAATGCATACAATAAAAAGGAGGAAGCGATATCCATGCCGAACTCAGCCTAGCAGGAAAGGTAAGATAGCAACCAATAGAATCACAATCGCCACTCCATAAACATGTCAAGAAGGTACAGGACGTTTAACAAAGATGGCAATAAGAATGGTCATACAGACATCCACGCAATCAAAAAAACTCTAGAAAAGGAGAGCAGGGACTAAACCAATTTCTGTGAATATCATAAGAGAAAAACTCATGATACCAACGAATGCACGGTTTTGAAGCGGGAGATCGATGAGAAACAACTAGTTGGAAACATAGTTGATGTAGCAAAAGAGCTCGGGGAAAATTTTGATGAGGACAAGCATCAAACTAGAACCTAAAAGGATGGGGGAAAGGACCATGAAAGGAGGGAAAAGATTCTTACCATCACCGGGCCCTGTCCATGCAGCAATCGTTAGGGCCAGCATGTCGGTACGAAGGTATATCATTAAAACATACTCAATATAGCCTTCTCAATGAGTGATCCCAAGCCAGAGCATTAGGATCTGAATGAACCATTACACATTATCGGTTTCATTAGCCAAAATTATGTCGAACATATGTACATTGACAACGGAAGCAGGGTCAACGTGATCTATGAACATTGCCTTCAGCAATTACCAATTGAAGGGAGAAAACACCTCCAGCCACAACACCGAGGCCCGCTAGTTAGGTTTACTAGTCACAACATCTGGACAGTAGGAACGATTACGCTCCCATTTACATTGGTCAGCCATGATGGGGCACAACAGATAACAAGGGTACTTGAATTCTCTGTTGTTGACCATCTGGCTGAACACAATATTCTACTAAGCTGGCCAGCACTTTTTCAACTGCAAGCAAATCTGTCTACTCTCCATGGTATACTCAAATTCAGCACAAGTAACAGATCGGTAACTGTAGTAAAAACCAAGCCAGATAATGAGCATAGTACCCAAAAAGAAACAAAGCAAGAAACTCAATCGTGTTGAAGCAAAAGTTGCCAGAATATTGGAAATTCACAGTGGAGGTCTGCAACAGCACAAATGCCGGTCCACAAGTCTAGAAAAAGGCAAAGGGATATATTTAGATGGCTCGCAGCATCTCTTCCATAGAAAGAAACAAGTGATGGCTAGGTCATGCCCAACCAACGAGCGATTTGGGACTCGAAGCAAGTCTTGACAAATGTCAAGTATGAACCAAAAGCCCCTGGAGTAAAGGAGCTAAGCACCAAGAATCACAAAGATAGATTTGGAGTGCCAGTCAATCTATAACACAAGCTTTCCAATAGAAAAAAAAAACAACAACGGCCTCTGACGAGCTAAACAACACCCAAGTTGCAGTATGAAATGCAAGATTGATAGACGCACAGAACAGCACGGGTGGTATTCTCACTCGATCAAGGAAAGGTGAATCATATGGTTGTAGCATGTGTCAGGTCAGTAGCAAGGGAAAGTGCAAGCGCCTGCAGATCATGAAAGGTGAAATTCAGCTTTCTCATGTTGGGCCCTAGTGGTGGAAACAAAAGGAAACCCCAACCTATCTAGAAACACTTGCAGCAAATGAGGAAAACATGCACAACCACAGCGAGGTATTCATAGAAGAACACTCAATTAAAAATAAAACAGTGGCTGAGAAAAAGTAACATGGTCAAACTCCGCAGAGGATAACCATAATCCAGGTCTCGATGCTACGACCGGGCATGCGCCGTGATATTTAGACATTTAGAGTCTATTATTTCATGCTTTTCTTTTCTAAGAGTTAGTATAATTTTATTTTGAAAGAACTTTCCAGAATTTTGTTTAACCAATTACGCAAACGCAAAGTAAAGGGGTTGTGCATATTTTCCATGTAGCAATAATAGCTGATCACCTACGCTACTTGAGCAAAATCTATGCAAGGATGCAACTCTAGGTCTTAAAGAGTCATAATCTTTACCTACAATGTGAAAATAACATCTCAGAGATGAGAATGCATAAATCCTAATTAATGGCATAGAAAACGGGGTTCAAAAAGACTTATAACCTTTCCCTTAAAAATTGGATAGTAAAAGGTCTTGAGGTGATGATCTCAGCCCGCATACACGTAGCTAAACCTCAAAGTATAGTCAAGAACATTGACTGACATTTCCTGAATTAACATAAAACACCTGATTAAAACATACAAATCAGTGGTATATAAGTCAATAGTGGCGGTTATAAGACGTCTGAAGCACACATTAACAGATTAACGCATACCCTAGAACATGGGAGTGTGTAGAAAAGAATCATCGTAGAAATGTTGAATAGCCCTAGCTTAAAGATTCCAGAGATCAATTCAATATATATATATATATATATATATATATATATATATATATATATATATATATATATATATATATATATAAAGGAGAGGACATTTCCTGCCAAATACAAAGCAAAATACATAGTGCCTGGTCATTAACAACTAGTATTTTTCACTTTACATATAATACATATTAATGCAACTACATTACAGAGTGAACAGAAGGCACAAACACAAATTAGTCCTCCGAGTTTGAGAAAAGACCCTCCTGGGCCCGACCTAGGACAATACTGACGGAAGTTGTCATAATCCAGCTCCCCCAGGTGAAAGTGGCCTGCAAAATCCATCTTAGCAAGGGATGAAAGATCAATATCCGCCTCTTCGGTTCTTCTTGCGACATGGACAGGATCCAAGGCTTTAGATTCATCAGCAATTATGGAAAGACCACCTAGTCGTTTCCCCTTTTCAAACCCAAGGGCCTCACATGCCTTGTGAATACCATGGATCCCGCTAGCAAATTTCGTGCTCTCAATAGCTTTATCAATTACGTGAACTACCCCTTCTCCAAAATCTATCTCAAACTACCTCAGGCAACAGAACCATCAACCCGGCCACGAGCCAGTTGACGTTGTCACCTGGCCAACTCACTCGCTAGCACACACTTTTTCTAAGTAACAGAACTCACTCAACTTTTGAGTCGCTCCGTTTGGCCTTCCAAAGTGGCCACATGATCTTCCGAAGTAGATTTCTCGCAGGACACAATACAATTTTGCTCAAAAAGTACTCGGCACTTAGCCTCTAAATCATGGAGTTCCTCCTTTATGTTTCCAATGGCATCTTGCAAAGTTGTTAAGTATGCTTCATTCGTACCAGAGCGACAAACCCAGTTAGCAGCAGCAACCATAAGGGCAGAAGCCTGAGCCACGGTATATCAAAGGTCACCAGCCATACGAGTTCCTGATATGCCTGCAAGCAACTTCATTGTGGGTGGGGGATGAACACAGCTACTCCACTCTTAGGTGGTGACGACTTCCGATAGTAAGGAATCCCTAGTAATCGCCCAACACGGAGGATAGGCCTCAAAAGGCAAGGAGGGAGACGTAGTTCTCAATTTGTCAAACCCGGAAGACTTTTCTGGCTGGGAAAAAACTACAGGCGAGCCCAGTGCACTCCGAAACATAGAGCTGGAACCAAGATCAACTGAAAGTGAGTCAGTAAATGGCGATGGTGGTGTCACTGAAGAACTAGGCACCACCACTATCTCTTCATGCCTAGGCACAGAAAGCTTTTCACCAAGAAAATCCCCGATACCACCAAGAAGCTTAGCCATGGACACAACCTTTTGCATTTTAAGAGGACGAAGGCCCGCATCATCGGATTCAGTCTCCTCGTCCGACGATGGCACCACGCGCAAGCTTCGTCTATTTTAAATAAGGGTAGTACATTTTCCTACTTGTTCCCTGGTAGGCGAATCGAAATGAGTGGAAGCTGGAAGACGAACTGGGGAAATGACCCCAACAGCCGGCTGGGAGGGCGAGGCAGGTCCACTAGAGAAAGTATTTTCCCCTTTTGCTGAAAGCAATCTAGCAAGCTCTCGCATGTGTTTTTTAGACATGGGAGGGGGGAGAGCCTCCACAAGATTAACCTCCCGATGGAAAAGTTTACCCTAATAGTGACCCCGAAGGGCCATCTCCAAGGAAATCTTTGCTTCAACACCTATGAAAACAAACGCCAAGTATAAGAACTCACAAGCTAATAAGATACCCTATTCTCACTCTTTTTTCTTGTTTTTAATAAAAAAAAGGGGGGGGGGGTGGAGAAGGAGATAAGTCAATACCGCATCTCATGATGAATAACTGTGCCATCTTCCCGCGAGTCCTCTAGGCAGCACTCATACTGGTCGCGACAAGAATGAAATCTTCCCAGTTCTCTTGAATGATAGTGATGTTTCCTAGCCGTTTTCAAAGAGTTAGGTTACTCCCGAACAATTTAGGAAGACGGTCAGGAAAGTCTCGTGTTTTGCGAAACCCATGCCCTACAAGGTTTCGATTAACCCAAAGCCATTGCCTCTGCCAATTTTTTATTGGAGTATCTTGTTCAGAGATCAGCTGATGAATGCCCCGCCTTTTCACTAGAGTGTGAACGCCAGAGCTCATAGTTGAATAGAAAAAGTAGCTGAAAACCCAAAAAATGGGTATACAACCCAGAGATCGACAAATCATTTCAAAACCTGCGATCTTGTTGACGGCACTCAGGGTTAACTCGTCAACGGAAAAGTCGTAGTGATGCACGATCATATCAAAAAATTCAGACATCAGTAGGCACAATCCCACTTTAAATAAAGGAATCGGAATCGCCACTTTCCCTAGAGGACAATCATAGATTGATGACCCTTCGCCGGAATTGTCACACCATTGTCCGGTAAGAAACCAAAACAATCTTGCAGAAGTTGGAATTCCTCTACGGTTGGGACTCTGCGATAACGGTCCATCTTTAGGAATAGATGAATGGTAGAAAGCGAAAATTTCGTAAAATGCTTGATTCGTTACAACGAAAAAAGGAGAGGAGGATAGAGATGAAAGGTCTTGGGAAAAGAGGGATTTTAAACAAAAAATTGGCATCACGAATGGTCTCTTGATGGATTTGACACACATTGACAGGGTACCTAAAGTCTGTCGAAAGCTAGAGATAATCTCAGACATACACGTGTTGAAGTATAGGCTCGAACGATGATGCTGCCAAGCCAATGCGTACGCCTACAAGCCTAATGGACTTGTTAAAGTACCCCTCAGGAAGTAAGCAAAAAAGGAGAAGTCAAACTAATGCCGATATTGGCTTCGGTAGAATCTAATCATGCCTAGTCTGTTGCCAAGACTGGGACTTCGCCAAACGCGGAGCCACTAGTATGGTGGTTAAGGGGAAGAACTGCGCCTTGCCTTCTACTCCTAGAAAAACACCCCAGCAAATGTGGGACCAATCAGAGAGTTCCACTTGTCCATCGAACGACAACCATTATGATTATAATATCAAATATTCCCCTCTAGCCAATGATGGGATTAGGCAAAAAGACGTGATAGGAGATCCTTCAATTCCAGATCCGCCACGTCACCTCATGAGGGAATACACAACAGCAGCAGTTATGAGGCACACACATCATAATCAGATATAAAATGATCCTTCTTCTTTATAGAGTGGGGATTGAATCTTTTTCCTTCAGATTTACACATACTTCTCTAAAATCCATTATAACTTGATCGTCGAAGCTTCATCCCGGGAGTCCCTCCCAGACGTCGACTAACGATCATCTTTCTCTTTTCTACTATGATACAACAGAAGGAACCAACATAATTCTCACTCTGAACTTCAATTCAACCCTTTATGACATATATATATATATATATATATATATATATATATATATATATATATATATATGATGGGTTTTGAGCATTCTAACACTTCCTAAGTGTACATGCAACCCTAATAACCTTGGATCTATGTTTGTCTAATTATCATGCAAAGTTGAATTCCAAGGTTATATTCCTATCTAGCATACATGGGGAACAATTTTAACATAAAGTATAGATAGAATAACTTACCTTGTTGTTGTTTGTGTTCCTTGAAACCTTGTGAGCCTAGCACCCCAAGTGTGATGCCTCAAATGCTTCACACAACACCAAATGCTCTTGGAAGAACTTATGAGAGAACACACACTTCTCAAAATCGGCCAAGCCCTCTTGTTTCTTAGTGTAGCCAATTTTAGGTGGAGAACATGTTACTTATATAGTGTTGACACATCTAGGGTTAAACCCTAATGTGTCATGACTCTTCATTTCCATGACCCATGGGTTTGTAACTCCCATGGAGCATCCATGGAGCATCCTATGGGTGGAACCCAACTTGATAGTCCATGGAGCCTTTTAGCCCACTATACAAGATATGGATGATTTACATAATCAACCCATATATTTAATTAGTTATCTTTTGATCACTTAATTAATTCTAAATTAATTCTTGATCAAACTAATCAAATAATATTATTAATATATTAGAACTTATAATATATTAATAATCTCCAAGTGTTATTTCTCTCATTTAGTCTATCCAATTGCATGGTGCCATGCAACCCAAATGGACCATGCCGGGTCGGGTCAAGTACATACCAGAAATAGTTATGGACTTAGACACCTTATCCAACAGTCTCCCACTTGGATAAGTCTAATAACTATTACTGCAAGTATGACTTCAGGAACCGATCGGCAATCGTAGCTCTTTCAAGGTTTCTCGAAACTGAGAAGATGATGGTACGCCATTTAAGATAAGTGATCATATAATCCTCTGTTCTAGATATCAGTCGGACAAATACATGGAACAATGTCTTACTTATTGTCCAACATTTGTTTCCCGATTTCCGATTTGTTTGACAAAGAACTTCATTGAACACATCAATTTAGTTCTGACCGGGCCCGGTACATAGGTCAAAACAAAATCATCGAGGGGCCCAGATATCAGCTTCTAATCCAAGAAGGAACAGATAAACTTCGACTCATATGTTTGTTCTACTACTCATTGAATTACACACAAGAGCGCGATTTATAACATCGAGTTACCAATGCGTTTTTCGTACAATCAATGCATAACCAACTTGTAAGTAACAAATCATATCTCTAGGTTTAAAGACTTATATGATATTACCGTCTCACGATCACTCGAGATAGAATTCCATGAAGTGATTCCAGTGAGCGTGGGTTGAGTCCAATGCTCAGAACTTATGAGCACTCATGATTGTTGTAGCCTTGTCCAAGACCTCTACAACCAAACATGACAGTCTTGATTCATACCTACTTCCGACATATGACCGACTGTGGAGGTTTGAATAATATGTTATACCAAACAAAATTATTCTGGAAGTCAAAACATGCAAAAGAAATATAGTAAACGATCGACAAGAGATAGCAACACTTTACTCATAAATAAAACACTTTTATTCATCATCAAATGTCAATTACACTTTACAAATTTCGAGGTTATCTAACTACTAAATCTAATATCATCCTTCAGCCCTATGCTCCGAGCATGCTGGAGATGCTTAACCCGAGTCAGTCCCTTCGTGAGGGGATCTGCCGGATTCTCATCTGATGATACCCTCTTTGCCACGAGGAGTCCTTCTTCGATCCGATGTCTGATGAAATGGTATTTTCTGTCGATGTGTCTGGATCTCCCGTGATCCCTTGGTTCCTTGGCTAAGGCAACAGCACTTTCACTATCACAGAAAATTTCCATTGGCTCTTTAATAGCTGGTACAACTCCAAGGTCTCCAATGAAGTTCCTCAGCCATAACGCCTCCTTTGCCGCCTCGCTAGCTGCAATATACTCTGATTCACAAGTAGAATCTGCCACTGTCTCTTGCTTGGAACTCTTCCAAGAAATTGCTCCTCCATTTAGGGTAAAGACCCAGCCCGACTGAGAGCGGAAGTTATCCCTATCAGTCTGGAAGCTAGCATCACTATACCCTACAACTCTCAAGTCATCACTCCCACCGAGGGTAAGGACCCAGTCCTTAGTCCTTCGTAGGTACTTGAGAATATTCTTTACCGCAGTCCAGTGTGCCTTGCCAGGGTTCCCCTGAAACCTGCTAACCATGCTCAGGGCAAAAGCTACATCAGGTCGAGTACACGTCATAGCATACATGATCGATCCTACAGCCGAAGCATAAGGTACTCGACTCATTTGTGCTATCTCAGCCTCAGTGCTAGGGCTTTGTGTCTTACTCAGTTTGGCGTTACTCTGGATGGGCAACTCTCCTTTCTTGGAGTCTTGCATTCTGAATCTCTTCAGAACCTTCTCCAAGTAGGTACTTTGACTAAGTCCAATTAGTCTTTTACTCCGATCTCTCAAGATCCTTATCCCCAAAATATAGGCAGCTTCACCAAGGTCCTTCATAGCGAAACACTTTCCAAGCCAGGACTTTACTTCCTGCAGGGTTGGAATGTCGTTTCCTATGAGTAGTATGTCATCCACATACAATACCAAAAAGCTAACTATACTCCCACTAGCCTTGACATATACACAAGATTCATCTTCACTCCTAGAAAAGCCAAATTCCTTGACCTTTTCATCAAAGCAAAGATTCCATCTGCGAGGTGCTTGCTTTAATCCATAAATGGATTTCTCAAGCTTACACACTCTATTAGGGTACTCGTTGCTGACAAAACCCTCTGGCTGACTCATGTAAACATCTTCAGCCAACTTTCCATTAAGGAAAGCGGTTTTGACATCCATTTGCCAAATTTCATAGTCATGAAATGCGGCTATGGCTAACAGAACCCGAATAGACTTAATCTTGGCTACCGGAGAAAAGGTCTCATCATAATCCACTCCAGGAATTTGAGAGAAGCCCTTTGCAACCAGTCTAGCCTTATAAGTGTGTACTTTACCATCCATGTCGGTCTTCTTCTTGAAGACCCATTTGCACCCTACAGTCTTTCGACCTGGTACATTCTCAACCAAGTTCCAAACTTGATTGTCATACATGGATTGTATCTCGCTATCCATAGCCTCTTTCCATTTAGCAGACTCGGGGCCTGCCATGGCTTCCTCGTAGCTGTTAGGGTCATCTTGACTTACTAGTGTCCATCACTAATAAGTGTCTCACCTTCTGCAGTAATATGGAATCCATAGTAATGCTCAGGTGCACTCCTAACTCTCGTGGAACGCCTCAGAGGTACAGATTCGTCAATTGGCTCAACAGGAGTTTCCTCCTCAAGTTGAGGGCTAGAGTTTGAAGTTCCTTCACCACTTGACTCTTGAATTTCTTCAAGATCAATTTGCCTCCCACTGTCTCCTTGGCTTATAAACTCTCTTTCTCGAAAGACTCCTCTTCTTGCTACAAAGACCACATTGTCACTAGGTCTGTAGAAGAGGTAACCAAAGGATTGTGTGGGTAGCCGATGAAAATACACCTCTCGCTTCGGGGTTCGAGCTTATCATGAGTCTCGCGTCTCACGAAAGCCTCGCAACCCCAAATCTTGATGTGGTCTAGTTTAGGTACTTTACCAGTCCACATCTCGTGAGGAGTTTTGGCAACTTTCTTTGTAGGGACTAGATTAAGGATATGGGCGGCAGTCTCTAAGGCATACCCCCAGAATGAGATTGGTAGCGAAGCTCGACTCATCATGGAACGAACCATGTCCAACAAGGTTCGATTACGCCTCTCAGCCACACCATTCAACTGCGGTGTCCTGGGAGGTGTCAATTGTGAGACAATCCCACATTCCCTTAGATAGTCGAGGAACTCTGAACTAAGATACTCACCACCCGATCGGATCGAAGCATCTTAATGTTCCTGCCCAATTGATTCTCGACTTCCTGTTTAAATTCCTTAAACTTCTCGAAAGTCTCTGACTTATGCTTGATTAAGTAGACATATCCATATCTACTGTAATCATCAGTAAAAGTCAAATAATAACGATTAGCATCCCTTGTGGCATGTTTGAATGGTCCACACACATCCGTGTGTATAAGGTCCAACAAACCTTCACCCCTTTCACACGAGCCTGTGAAGGGTGACTTTGTCATTTTTCCAAGTAAGCATGATTCGCAACTATCATTTGACTTTAGG